GGACTGAACCATGAGTGTGGAGTAACGCTGTATCTTTCATTTAAATGAACTGTAACCTTCACCCAGGTATGTAACAGCTGTTCTCAAATGAACACGTGAAGTAAAGTTTAATATTTATAGTTTTATAGATTTATAATGAGTTATAATGAGAGGTGATCAACGTGAATGCTCAGGTTCCACCTTAACACTCAGGCAGTTGTATACAAACTGGATAAAACGCGGGCTTTTTGTTGTTGTTCACGAGTTGATCCCGCCCCTGCCCCTGCCCCCGCCTCGACGTAAGCGTGACGTATGCGGTGCTTTTGCTCTGGCCGGACAATTTTTTGGTGCTTGAAACGAACCGGATTCCGGAGCTAAGAGGCTGCTCCGCTGCGGTGTGAACATGAAAACCCGATGCTTTTCAAGCTCCAGCTCCGAACCGGCCCTGAAACACCGTCGGTGTGAAAGAGATATTATATATTCTATCTGATATTGTAAACCACATACCTTGTTGTGATTGAAATTTCTGTCACATTTTAGTATCGTAGTAGCAGTACAGTTATAATAATACAGGTAGATGCAGCTATAATGGTATCAAATGTCGCAGAACCGATAATAGTGTTAATACAAATAGCAGTACTCGTAGCAGTGGTAATACAAAATCTGGCATCTGGTCAGGGCATTACACGACAAGTTGGACAGCAGAGAACAACCGCCAACCAAACACACACACACACACACACACACACACACACACACACACACACACACACACACACACACACACACACACACACACACACACACACACACCTAAACATCTTTCAGAGAACACACCTGAATTCCTTACAAGCTATCGGAGACAGATTGCACAGATCCTGTTACGGACAGCGAGAAAGAGAAATGTAAAGGCCATAAAGGAGGAACTTAAATGGAAAAAAGTAGGAATTGAAAAGTCTCAAACTTTAAGAGGTTTAAAACTTTTCTCCCTCCCCTCTCCTCCTCCCATCACTGCCGCAATTCACACTCATTAATCTATATAACCATACCCTGCCTACTTCGCTTCCCCCCTCCTTCTCTCTCCATCAGAGAAACAGAATCAGGGTAGAATCAGCCGGAGGCAATCCTATTTAGATCAGCTATTTTGTAATTCCTTTTTGCAGCAAAAACGTCCTCTGCTATTCCCAGTAGGGACACACTACAGCACTGATGGCATATACTGCTTATTTCTATGGGAATGCACATTTTCTAAAATAAGCCCATCTTGGGAATTTGTTTAAGCTATAAATACTTACAACAGCAAGTGGCAGTATACTGAGTGAATATTCTTTACTGTGTCCTAAATGTTTTAGCAAGTTTACTGAGCCTGCAGTTTCTGTCAGCACAACCAAGTAAATGGTGCTACGTCTACAGCAGCTATTTTTAACTTGCATCACATTAAAGGTGTGAAACTTCACCCAGGAAGACAAAGCACAGCCCAGCACTTTCCTCTTTCCTACCTGTACCAGTAATGCCCCATCAACTAATCCCCATCATTTTGTATGAGGCTACTTCATTTAACAGCACCGTACCATTTTAACCTGTTTTTGTGTTTGTATCTTGTATTTTAAATGTGTTTATATTAAGTTGTGTGAGCTTATGTCTCTGTACAGCACTTTGGTCTGAAGGTTTTAAAGTGCTATATAAATAAAGTTGGATTGGAAAGTTGGATTGGAACCTAGGCTAATCAAGATGATATGGGAAATTAAGCAGATATGACTTTGAGGGAACATTAGAGATTAGGTTGTTGATGTACTCTGTAGGAATATTTTTATTTGTATTATCTAGCAGCAAGATGGCGTCTTACTACAAGTAGCTATGTTCAAAATGCTTTCCACTTCAGGCACTACAACTATAGTTTACAGTCCTTCTGCTCCACCTTTGGGTCTTTCCCCCTAGGAAACACACACAATAATACACACACAGCAACCATGATAGCCCGGAAGGACAGTCCATCACTTGATTTTGACAAAGTGTTATTAAAACCCACTTAGTACTGGCTGTAAGAGCTCTACGCTATGGAAACTATGCCGTCTGCCACAAGCTGAAAAAGCCAGCCTTGCAGACATCTGCTTCAAATCTGACCAAAAACAGAAGAAAGGGAGACAGAGAGAGCAAGTTTTAGACTACTGTTACTAGGACATCCTCTCTCCAATTCATTCATCATGACAGCACACTTTATTTTATGTCATTACAACACTCCTTCTCACAAGCAATCTGAGCATCTCCAAACACGCACTGTAAGCACTACTGTAACTTAGAAGTAATGCCTGCCAGATAAAAGCAGACAGAGCTCTACATCTCCTCGCAACTTTGAACACAAGCAAGCTTACTTTATTACTATAGTCCAATTATCCAATATCAACATCAGGTTTACAGTTCCACCGCGGCAGCACCTGTTCTCGACCATATTATATATTCCAATAAGACCAATAAGTCCCTCCAAAATATATTAATTTAGCCTACATTCTGTGAAAATAATTTGGTCCAAATGGTCAGGGGCGTTCTCAAAAAGACTATTCCCATAAACTTGCATGTGGCATAAACAGTAGAGGTCAACTGCTGGAAGCTGTGAACTTTATTGTGAACTTGATTGTATTCTCACTAGCACTACAAGCCCTTAAGGCCACCTTGAGAAGACTTTTACTGCAAACAGTAATTTGTTGTGACATCGTGAACACGCCCACCTTGCTGAATGAGGGAAAAAGTGGGAGAGACCAGCAGCCCACCTTATTGAGTGTTTTAACAGAAAACAGATATTTTGCACCAGTTGAGTGTTTGGTGAAAAGTAGCAGCTTTAACTTCTGAGAACATCGGCATATAAAAACACAAGTTTAAAATCAACAGCAATCCCAAGGACACAAATCCATATTAAACGGTCATCTTCTTCAAAGAAAATCTGAGACAATGCCTTATTACTGGCAGTTTAACTGGTTATAAAGAGTCTGTGTGAAATATGACACTATGATGACATTGTTGTCTACTGTTGACAAGCTAAACATTAAGAAAGTTAAGAAACTTTAAAATAAAACAATGCATTCTAAATACAAAATGTGCTTTCATGCTGATGCTGCTATTTTAAATACCTATCGCTTCTGAACTGATAACATCTGAGTCAAGCACTGAGTCAGCATTTGAGTCAGTTTCATATTATATCACCAGCTACAGTCCAATGATAATGAAACACACACAGATATGTATTCACATCAGTTGTTTTAACAATGAAAGACTTAAAGAACAAAAGAGGACTTTGGGATTTGTTTAGCATTGTTCAAACATTTGGCCGAAAGCTGGAGTTAATTCCCCACACTGTGAGCGGGTCAAGATATCAGAGTCTCTGGCTGTGAGCAACATCATCACTGTGGTGAAAACTTCCTGAAATGTGATCAAATAGCAATCACGGACCTCACCATGAGTCACCATCAGATAATAAGGCCTGCACGACTGGCTCTGAAGAGCTCTGAACTTTGGAAGCGGTATTTAACAGCAGGGATTCCTTAAATGGCGTTTCAAGTCCTTTTTATACAGAACAAGAAAACAAAAAACAGGCTCCACTGCGTGAGTAGTTGCTCTGGGATGTTCTCACACAGCATAAAAGACACCGAAAAGGGCAGCTGGCATTTTTTTCAAAAAGCCTTTGTGTATCCAAATAAACTTGATAAGATAGATGCTTCTTCTTCGTGTTGCCCCAATTCCCTGCTGCTTGTTTTATTAACGTATTTCAACCAGCTCCTCTAGGTTTGCCCTTAAGTGCCTTGCTTAATGAAACTTCAACACTTCTTATTCAATGTCCATGTCTTGACATTATGTCTACTTAACATTCAAACCGTCAACCGTCCAATAAATAAGCCAGTTTCCCATCTTCTTGGCTATGCAACACACAGGTTTAACCTTAATTAATGTGCTAACTGTACAGAAATACAGTTTTTAAATCAATAAAAACCCACAGTTTTACAGAATACTAAAACAGCAGCACAACATAATTCAAAGCAAAGAAGAATGAACAGAAGCAAATGGATGAGTAAGATAGAAAGTAGAGACATGGTAAAAAAGGGGTGGGGAGTTGTTGATTTGGTCCTGAATGAGCAGTCCGCCTCGCCGCTCATCGTGACCACCACATCACACCTTCACTTTCTCACATATTCAGCAATAACATTTGCAACCTCACACTGACACAGAGCGAAAACAAATCAAATCAAACATGCAGATAATGAAGACATTGAAGCTGATAAATATCTGCACGAATAAAAATGAACAGTTATGATTCAAATGGACAGATCAAATGTACTCACAAGATCTCGTCGTTCTGGAACTCCAGGACACCGTGAATGTCTTCGAAGTCTTCTCCGCCACCTCGTGCTGTTCCCTCCACCGTCTTGTACGGCAGCGTTACCACGCCGCGGGCTCCTGACGTTCTCAGCACCTTGACCTCCATGGTGCCAACGCTCTCGCTCACGTGGAATACCGGCTCCTCAAACGTAAAGATACCTGCGTGGTCGTCGTCAAAGATGGTAACGGTCGCCGTTGCGGGAAGGCCGAGACACGCCATTGTTTCCACGTGATTCGCCGACTCGCCTTCCTCTGGCTCCTCGCCCTCTGATGTCAACATCCTGACATTGGTTAGGTGGATCAGGAAGTTCTCATCCTCTTCAAAGATGTCGTCGTCGATGATCCCCACACGGATCTCCTTCATCGTCTCGCCAGCCTTGAAGACCACCATGCCCTCGGTGAACTCGTAGTCCGAGCCGGCGTTGGCCGTGCCGTCTTCTGTACGGTAGTCCACAGAAATCGTTTTGCCCAAATCGCCACCGCGTCGCACCACGGTCACCGCCACTGTGCCACAGTTCTCAAGGCACTGGTAAGAACTGGGGTCGAAGAAGAGCTTGGAGATGGGGTCGTTATCACCGATATCAGAGCGAACCTCGTGCATACTGACGGCTTTTCGGGCCTGATCAGCGGCGTGTTTCTTCAGGATGTTTCCAGCGCCTGTCATCAGCCGGGTGGCCTGGCATCGGTAGAAAGCGCGGCTCTTCTGCTGCTGGCTCAGGACTTGGTAGTTGGCAAGCTCAATGAGTTGTTCCACCTGGTGAGAAAAAACAAGAAAACACAGTGTGAAAAGATTTTCTCCTCAGAAACGCTAGCCCCTAGACCAGGGGTGTCAAACTCAATTTCATCGCGGGCCACATCAACATTATGGTTGCACTCAAAGGGCCGGTTGTAACTATATAACATATATAAGTATAATATATATATAATGTATTATATTACATTATTGCCTCTGAATTTGATTATTATCGGATAGGATAATAACTTAGTAATTAACTACGTCTGAAAGCAGAAGTCCAGGGCAAATAATTGCAAGTCTCTTCAGTGCGCATGTCACAAAATGAGATGCATTGTGGGACATGTAGTTTATGGGCAACCTGCTTCTGTAAAGTGGCATGTAACCGTATAATAAACATATTATATTCTTTGCAAGCTCTTGTGGGCCACATGACATGAAGTCGCAGGCCAGATTTGGCCCCCGGGCCTTGAGTTTGAGACCCCTGCCCTAGACCTTTCATGGTGGGAAAGAATGTCTTCTTTGTCAACTTGTCTACTTAAATGAGAGAACATCAGTGAACACTGTCTGGCTGAATTTCAGGGTTCATCTTTCTTGTCTGGATAAATAACATTCAATGGTGTGCCATGTGGGCACATCCTAGAATAGAAAGGACAGTGATCTAACGATAAATCAACAGAGAATTAACATCAACAGCATCTTTGATTTAGTTGTATGCAAGATTAATATGCATCAGATTACAGCAGAACATAACGTGTCGAATGAAACATGAACAGCTTGTTAAATTCATTAGTAGAGATGTCCTTCTTCATTAAAAGGTTCAGGTCCCACGTCATCAACCATCCATCTTGCTTACATATCCCTGAGAAACACACTTGATTTCAGGGTTGATCCCACTATTCTTTCTTTTTATCCTTTCTAGTATTCCTTTTCTATCAGAACATACATCAAGGAGATTACTTTTTTCCTAATTGGGGAAACAACTAACCTAATAAGAGTCGTTACAGGTGACCAAACTTGGTGATGTAAAATATCCGTCCCATAGTTACGGTCAAGAGTTTAACCTCCGTTCTTAATCACAGTCTATGTTATAATACATTAGCTTTAGATCAACATTTTAATTATCTAATTGGTTTCAAAGAGAGGGCAAACAATGGATAACGTCTGGCTATTCCTGCTGTCAACAATTTACATTCAACACTTTGTTAACAAGTGGACATTTTGCCTACTTTATTTATAGTAACATAAAGAGAGTGCGTCTTCTTAGAGAGAGGAAACTTTCCACATTCTGCTAAATGAGTCATCAGCAATAGTTTATATCCATCCCTTCGCTATTAGGTCAGCCAGCACCAGTATTAATATCTAGACCACAAACAAAATGAGAATGTAGTGGGGAAACGACGGCCAATTTCAGAGCTAACACAAAACAATATGTTCTTCTGTGGGTCTCGAACATTCCTTATCCATGCAGTACTGTAGGTAATGGATGCTGCAATAAAATCAGTCCATATGTTTATCATAGTGGCAGGTAGTCAGCCAGAGAAGCTATTTATACTGTATAAATTGCCAATGTCAAAACAGTATCTGTGTTTATCATTATAATTTACATATTGATTCAGTGCCGGCTCGGTTTCCTTTGCAATTTTCTTCTTGTAGATGTATCATTATCAAATTAATGTGAGAGGTTGTGATGAGACCTGCGCTGCATTCATCACTATAATCTTTGATAACGGAAGCAAATAGAAAGTGCGTCATCTGTTGCAGCTTATTTTCTCAAATCATTTCCTATATGGAGAAAAACAACCCTGTCAAGAGCAACTGTGACAGAATGTTGTTTCTTTCCTGCTGCCTTCTTTTGACTTTGTTACTCACCTCCTTGTCAGGGTGTTTCTGTTTGAGCTCTTTCAGGATCTTGGCCATGTCTCTGCGGGTCTCGTCTTCATCCAGGTCTTTCTCATCTATATCCAAACCCAATGGTCCATCCAGGAAGTCAACACCATGAGAGTTCAGCATCTTCCCATCCATCTCAATGTCCACCTTAAAAAGGAAAAGGAAACAATGTGTTCAGCGCTATTGATTTAAGGCTTGTGAGAAGCATGTCGAATCTAAAGGCACAACAGTTTCTTGTGCTTTCATGCAATGCCCTAATGAGCATGCACATAAATGTGAAAATGTAAAGTTTCTGTAGTTTGCTGGGGTAATTAATATCTTAAAGGTGACCTATCATGCAAAATGCACTTTTGTACGTCTTTTATACATGAATATGTGTCCCCGGTGTTCCAGGGAACTCACCAAGTGTCAGAAAACACAACCCTCTCTATNCTTTCATTTAAATCAGGGGTGGGGAACCTTTTTCCTCTCAAGGGCCATTTAAGCAGAGGTCAATAATTTGTACGGCCCTCTGAGGATGTTGAAAAAATTGAAATGGCCCTTGAGAGGAAAAAGGTTCCCCACCCCTGATTTAAATGAAAGATACGACGTTACTCCACACTCATGGTTCAGTCCACCTTAAGAAATAAGACCGACCTCGGAAGCAGTTGTGTTTTAAAAAAACCTTTATTGACACGAGTACACTTTTTAATAAGAATATAGTCCAAACCACAGAAACGACTCCGGAAAAGCTGCAGATAGAGCCATAAGAAATGATTGCAACTGATTTAATCCGGAGGTAATATACCTGATTCACACCAACGCAACTCCGGTTCAAGCTCCGTGCTAGAGTTTTCAGGTTCAGAACCGGTTCTTCGGTTTAGCTCCGGCTCTTTTCACACTGCCCAGAGTCCGACTGGTAATGCGTCATTGCGTCATCGTTTGCGTCATGACGTAACCGTTTGCGTGCCTNTGAACAACAACAAAAAGCCCGCGTTTTATCCAGTTTATACACAATGATGGAGAAACTTAACCAGAGTTTCAGTGTTTCTGCCATATACTGTATAAATAAAGGTTTCTGCTCATGGTGAAGCAACGTGTCTGCGTGTTAAGGTGGAACCTGAGCATTCACGTTGATCACCTAACTCATTATAAATCTATAAAACTATAAATATTAAACTTTACTTCACGTGTTCATTTGAGAACAGCTGTTACATACCTGGGTGAAGGTTACAGTTCATTTAAATGAAAGATACAGCGTTACTCCACCCTCATGGTTCAGTCCACCTTAAGAAATAAGAGCGACCTCGGAAGCAGTTGTGTTTTAAAAAAACCTTTATTGACACGAGTACACTTTTTTATAAGAATATAGTCCAAACCACAGAAATGACTCCGGAAAAGCTGCAGATAGAGCCATAAAAAATGAATGCAACTGATTTCATCCGTGCGGTTTGGCTTTATGAAGCAGGCACGCAAACGGTTACGTCATGACGCAAATGATGAAGCAATGACGCAGCACCAGTCGGACTCCGGGCAGTGTGAAAAGAGCCGGAGCTAAACCGAAGAACCGGTTCTGAACCTGAAAAGCTCTAGCACGGAGCTTGAGCCGGAGTTGCGTTGGTGTGAATGAGGTATAAGACCTGATTTCATTTTGGTCGTACACAGATTGACTAGTTTCACAAATACAAGTGGGGATCGCCAGCATTCTTGAAATGAAATGATAGCTGTTACAATAAAGGCTATATAAAGCAGGCTAAGAGCAATGAGTGTGGTGAAAATGATAGGCTGGCTTTGTCAGGGGTAGAATCAAGTATCATTTGAAAATAATTACAAGATCAAGTTATCGAGTTATTTAGCTGCACTTAGCTTTGTGTTCCTTTCAGATATAAAACAAGTTTTAAGGTTTCCTACCTGTTGCCTGACTTACATCTCTGTCCAGAGCACCTTCCAGCACATTCAGTAGCTCTATTTTTTATTATAGATGGTCCTTACGGAATTACCAGACCAATTAATACAAAATAGGTCAGCAATTCAACTTCTTTTTACATAGCTGTTTCATTTAAAGCTGTATTTTTAGAGACCAGGAAAGCCAGGTTTAATATTTCCAGTGTTATTGTGGTCTGTAAAATATACATTGAACACATAAGTATTTATCATTGAGGCAGTTTCTGGGACGACCCTTGTTCACACATGCAGACACAGGAAGGTCAAAATAGTTAAGGAAACAGAGCAAGCTGGGGGATGCACACACGTTCATGCACACATGCATACTCACGCAGCTACCTGCCAATGCACAACTCTGGTTGCGAACACACACAAACAAGAACAGACGTGCATGTGCTTTCATACAGCTACGTTTTGACTTGTTCTCAGTCCCTTTTCGACCCTGAGGTAGTAAATACATGGATCCCACACACAAACATACACACACACACACAGACATGGAGCCAATTATACAATTTCCATAAACAGGCCGCCAGTGGGGAAACATGGTACAGTCGGGAATCAAATTAGGCTCCTTCCTACACAAAAACACACACATCCCCACACACAGCAGACTGGGACTTCACACTCCAATAACAAGCGCAGATTGGCCTTTTAGATGTTTCCTTAGACGCTATAGGAATGTGGGTTGTGTCGTGGATGAGCTGTGCATGATAACATTCATACTTTTGCATTTAGAGTGTTTGCTTCTCTCAAAAATGTTGTTATTGTGCTGATACAAGTGGGTTTTGATTTGCTGTAACTCTGAAATGGGATTTTATTCGTGTCCAGGAGGATATGAAGTGGCTGTGACTGTAAGCTTGACATTTATTTGGATACATTTGCACCGAGTCGTCCTCATAAAGGTGTAGAGGGAGGTGGTTTCAGACGCTGTTTGACAAAAACAAGGGCTCATATAGGGATGAATAAATCACATTTGAAAACTCTTTAAAACATAAATTCTATCGGTCCCACACAATGTAAAAATCTACTCTTTTGATACAATTGTGTGGATTTAGTCCTTACATTCACATGCCTATAAGTCTGCATTTAGTCACAAACAAATACTTCAGCCAAGACACTTGTGTACATACACAACTCCTTCACACTCTCATATTAGCGAGGCATTCAATGGTAATGAGCCGTGATGAGGTTTTTAGGTCACATGACACGCATACATGCAAACTCCCTCCGTGACAACAGAACCAAAACACTGAATTTATTAGCCGAGGAAGAAGTGTTGTGGGAGAGCTGCATTTGTATGTTTTAATGTCATTATGGACACATGATGTGTTAGCCATGCTTGTGCAGTGTCTGATTTGTTTTAATAAATCCCTCAGTGGCACTGAACAACGACACAAACCGTAAACTGATATCTGCGTGAAGCACAATCGACAAACACACACGCAAGTACACACACTCACACAGAGCTTGTTCCTTTTGAGGTGTGAAGGCTGTGTTCTCATGTTACAGAACACATGGTTTGAACAACACTCTCGACAGAAGACCTGTCCCTGTGTGTGTGTGTGTGTGTGTGTGTGTGTGTGTGTGTGTGTGTGTGTGTGTGTGTGTGTGTGTGTGTGTGTGTGTGTGTGTGTGTGAGGGTCCGTGCATGTGTAAATGTTTAAATGATACTCAGTTTATTGGACTTGCCAGAAAACAGATCGGCTGTCATTTTGATGATTAAAGGGGCCCTATTATGAGTTTCTCGTTAGCCTAATTAATATAGCAACATTTCCTGTTAATTGCTTTAGAGATGCTTAGATTTTCTTGCTTTAGTCAGACTTGGATGAAATTAACTGATTAAAATGATCAATACATCAAATGGATCGTAAAAATAAGAGTTTTATGAAGAGAACGTGTGGTAAACATGGCAGCAGCATGTGAGAGAGGAAAGTAAGTATAGAGACTGACATCATGTCTTGGCATCTTCCCAATGCCCTTTCCGCAAAAGTCAGCTTTTATCTCGGGCAAGCTGCCACGTCTTTTTCTCATGAAGGAGAGTGCAATCAATGTTTCTAAATCTCTTGTCAGAATCATGAGCTACAGTAGTTGCTTGTGTATGTGTTCCTTTGTTGTTTCACTGTATACAAAGCGTACACCACTAAATTGGTTCCGTCATTTAATTAACCTTCATTTTAAATGGTCACTTCCATAAGAATGAGATAATGGAACAACACTGAATGATTGGTCAATTCATGAGGGTGTGAAAATTGGCATTTGCGGTTGATTTGACTAATAACAGAAATGAGGGTAAGAGAGAAAAGCCGAGAGAGGAGAGGGCAGGTCAGCAGCTTGACAAATGATCCCTAAACAGCTGTCTCCACAAAACACCATTGCCTTGGCAACAGCTGGGATCGAGGGGGGGGGGGTGACTTGGAAAGAGACGGAGACGGGATGCTGAGCATGAGAGTCATCAAAGACATGAGAAGGAGACAGAGGGTGGTCTGGTGTACAGGGACAGACATGAGGAGAGTCATATTTATAATGGGAGAGCAGATGGGAAACTGTATTTTCTCGTTATTTGTTGTTATTGCTGCCAGATGTGTCCTTTCATTATGTTAAATGTTCAGATGTATTGATTCAGATCCATCAGTGCACACAAGAGGGCATGAGTCATTTCGAGATAATGAAATGAGGATGCTTATTACTGCTACACAACAACTACTTCATGCAGTGTCAAAGTGATGCCACATTACTTTTTGTTTATGTCACATCGAGCAGACTTTACGCAATATGTGTCACCAGAAGATCTTGATTCTTGTTACACACGCACTTCCGATTGTAACTTCTGGGATCAGACGTCACACTAACTTCCTCTTAACGTTTTATCATCCATTCAACACTGATTTTAATGACAGTGTTCAAGTTCACAACCCCTGCAGCTGCTTGAAGAACAGGTCATCCCATCGTGAAGCCACACCCATTTCTGAAAGCTCGGTTTACAATTCCCCTGCACCACTTGGTGAGTTCACCCCCTGAAGCGAGTATGGGCGGTAGAACAGGCTAAGACGTGATTTCTGACACCTGACTTTGTAGCTTGGAGATGTGGATCTTGCTCACTAAGGCTTACAGAGAGGAAGGTGGGACTGCTGAAAAAACAAGGCAGTGGGTGTAGATCTCTGTCAGGTTTTCAAAGGGAGGACAAAAGGCTGATAGGTCTCTCTGTGTGTGCTGTTATTTACAGGCAT